CATGGGACAAAGGCTCAAAATCCTACTGAAAGCCTTTGCTTCCTTCCTCCCCTCCCTCCATCCCTCCTTCCCTCCCTTCCCTTCCCCTCCTCCTTCCTGTCTCCCTTCCATCCTCTTTCCTCCCTTCCCCTCCTCTCTCCTCCTCCTTTCTTTTCCTCTCTGCCTCCATCCCTCTCTCCTCCACCTTTCCCTCCTTCCTTCCTTCCTTCCTTCCTTCCTTCCTTCCTTCCTTCCCTTTCCCTCCTTCCTTCTCTCTGTGTCTCTTTCTCCTCTGTAACACAACAGGGCACATGGTGGTCTCTGTTCATGACCTGTGGCCATGTTGAAGCAGGACTCAGTCCTTTGGCATATCCCTCCCCTAAGAACAAACCCAGAATTCTTTCAACACTGGTGAGGAAAGCAGGTTTTAATGCGTCTTTACTAAAGATTCTGTGGAGATGCTAATGATGGGATCCCACTACAAATGACAGGGAAGTTAATGAACATTTCTGCTGGGTGCCTCTGCCCCTCCCCCATCACTTACATTTCTTCTTTGGCAGAGAGCACCTCACCTCCTGTCCCTCCCTGCCCCTCGCGTGGCATGGGCATGGCCCTGCATCTAACCCCAACATCCCCAGCTCTTATCTTGTGGATAAGGTAGGGAAATTTAAATCGATTAAATTAAATTGAAATTGAAATTAGGCAGATCTGTCTTTCTTGTGACTCCATACCCACAAACAGTGGTCCTTGGAATATGACAGGGAATTTTTAATTAGTGATAAATATTTTTTCACTATTCCAAATCATATTTTTTCATGTCATTCATTCATTCATTCATTCATTCATTCTTTCAATGAATATGCTTAGAAGAGTACATCTAGTGATAGCTGTGGCCTACCAGAAGGTGTATCTGACTATGCTCATTGTTTTGCCACCCAAACCATGCATGGCGAGGGGAGGGTGGCATGGGGCTTGGGAAAGGGAGGGTTAACAGTCACATGGGGGTTCACAGTTATGAGATCTTTTTTTTTAATGTTTATTTATTTTTGAGAGAGAGAGCACAAGCCAGGGAGGAGCACAGAGAGAGAAAGAGAGAGAGGGAGAATCTGAAGCAGGCTCCAGGCTCTGAGCTGTCAGCACAGAGCCCGACACGGTACCTGAACCCACGAACCATGAGATCATGACCTGAGCTAAAGTCAGACGCTTAACAGACTGAGCTACCCAGGCACCCCTATGGTTATGAGATCTTAAAATGGAAAGTGACCTTAGAAATTGATGGTAAGCATTTCCTGGGCCTCAGCATTTTTTTCTTTTGTCAAGGAGAATAGGAATCAGACCGAAGAAAGGGATGTGGATCTTGAGCCCAGGGAAGACTTGAGAAGCATAAATCAAACAGGGATGCACTGGCCTCTTTGTCAGGCAGAATTTGTAGCAGGAACAGAAAAGGCCTTACAGTTTAAATATCTGAGGGGCTTTGCTGATGTACATAAACTAAAGAAGAAATGGCAGCTGAGGCAGTGTTCACTGTAAATGGTGAACACAGATCATTATCCAAATGCTTATTGGGCAAGGCAGTGTGGGACTGGCCCAGACGTCTGTCTCATGGGCAATGCCGTGTCCCTCCAGGCGTGGAAGGAAGGAGAAAACTACCAAGCTGTCTGCCAGCTGAGGGATAGCACGGTAGACTTTTCCAACTTCATCTCCTATAGAATGAGGACAGTGTCTCCAGATTCCCTGGCAGTGTTTATTTTCATAGTTGTCTGGAGAACCTCGGGAAGCTTGGGTGGTGGACTTCTGCAGAGGTGAGGACGGGCTGTTTCGATTAGATTTTCCCAGCTATGTGCCAGCAGGATCTCACTATCCTCCCCGTTGATTGGTAGAAAGTGCTCATTAAACAACATGGAAAGGATGCCCAGAATCTTTGGGGCTAAGACATGTGCACAAACACCTGGCCACGGATGGCCCAACCGTGCTGCAGAAAGCAGGACTGCCAGCTTGGAGGAGGTGATGCAAGAAGAGAACACTTTAGGACAACAGAAGCTATCCTTGATTGAGGTCTGGCACTTGCCAAGCACTAGGCTGAGGGCTTTCTAAGAATCCTATGCAGTTTTCAGGGCAACCCTGTTGGGCGGATGTCATTATTCTTTTTATAGAAGTTCAGACCTCTAATTATGCTCTGCATTTGAAATCAGGTGTGTCTGATGCAAAAATCTGCCCCTACAGCCACCTCTGGAGTAACACAATCAAATAGTCACTCCCCTCAACACACAGCTGAGCCCAGAATAGCGTGACTGGGTGCTCTGTAGGTTCGGCATGGCCTGCCAGGGCCTCTAGGACTGTTCGTAAGCATAAGCAAACTCAAGTAGGCTTCAGGATGATGAGGCACCTGGAGAATGAGCTGGTTTTCCATGTCACTGTCTGCCTAAGGATGATGCCATGTTTCTTAGGGCTCATGGGGGCTAGGACATGACTAAACAACGAGTAGCTCTCATCTCCCAAGGCTCTTTCAGCCTAGAAAGAAGTCAAGGCCAGATCACAATTGTGATCACTACCTGCATCTCTAAGCTTTCCCATTCTCAAGGCCCCTCCCAGGGCCATTCATCCCCAAGAGCTCACACATGCCTGTGACTGTCTCTTTAGTAGGTTTATGCTTGTGCTTGGACCACACTGATGATGTTGGGCACTGTCTCTTATCCTCAGGATTGTGTTCTAAGATTGCAAATGAACGAGGGGCGCACTGTGCTGTGTGGGAAAACAGATCATGGAAATACAGCATTCTTTCCCTAAGATCCCCTTCCGCCATGACCTGAGGGGAAATGATACCTTGCCACTCATAGATTCAATCTTGAAAAGACTTAGCAGTTTGCAAAAGGTTTTCACAGAGACCTTGCTAAATTAAGCTCTTTGAGGAGTGTAAAGTCTTCATTCATCCTGGCATCATACGGCGGGTGTTCAATTAATGTGGACTGAACAGTCACAGATATTTCCTAGGTATATATCATGTTAGACTGCGGGTGGAGGGTGGGGAGGTGACAGAGGATGTGCGATGTAAACAGTAATCAAAGATCTTGATTTCACAGTGCGGCAGAGTAAAAATTGTCTTTGAAGACAGGCAGATATGAGTTCAAAACCTTAACTCTTACGTAATCCATAAGAGCCACTGTGGCTGTGTGATCTTGAGCAAGGCTCTAATCTCTCTGGATCTGAGCTGCCTTTATTTATAACAGTGAGATGTACTGTCTCCCCCCACCCCACCCCACCCCAACACAAGTAGGTAAGGATGACGTGAGATAGCAGATGTATGCAACAGGTGTGGAGCAGATCAGAGCAGACACTCCTGAAAGCGCATGATCCCTTTGGCCACCCAGGAGGTCACTGCAGCTCCCTGCATGTGGGTGTTCTCTGGTTGTGAGCATGCTCAGCCCATGCATAGGACAAGGTGGAAGTGCTAGGGAGTCAAGTCCAGCAGTAACCTTCAACCAGGTAGGGGCTCCACTTGCTCTCACTCCTCAGTGTAATAATTATGAGGGGGGTTTCACAGTCTCTAAGAAGACCCCCCAGTGGGACTGAGCCCTGGTAGCCTGCTGCATTAAATTGTTCGTGAACACATCCGTGCTGTCTTCCCCACTCCTGTCTCACTACCCCAAGCTTCCTGGGAGCACTTCCCAAATAAGCCACTTACTCCCAAACTGCTTACTTCTTGACACAGAGGGCCACCCCAAGTAAGACAGAGGATTAATTAAAGCTACTGTTGTGGTTTTCAAAGGGCTTGGATGTGGGTAATTAATACAGAGAAATGTAAAATACTGTAGGAGAAAAAGAGATTTCTACCATCTGACGTCATCTGGGAAGGCTTCAGGAAGGAGATTATAGGCAACATCTGATCTGAATGGTAAAGGATATGAAGGATTTGTACATGAGAGGAGGGCCCAGGGAAAGGAATTCCAGGGGAGGGAACAGAGTTTCATGTCCACTTTTCCAAAGATTCTGACAAAAGCCATGTGTGAGTCAGGTGGGCAGACAAGTCAGGTGGGTCCATGTGTCAGCCTCATCTGGACACGGAACCTCCTGGCTAGCATGGTCCTGGTACTTTGGCCCTGTGCTCAGCACGCTTTCAGGCGATACTTATCAGTGCACATGATACAGGGCTGGTGCTTTCTTTCTGCCCCTGAAATGTGACCCTTTAACCTCCTATCTTTGCCAAGCCATTTGTCACAGTCTATGAAATCCCCATCAAACACTCTGCCCAGTTGTCCACCGAGCATCCCATGGGTCTCGGGTCTTCCAAAGGCATCGGTGAGGTTTTCTGCTCAGTATTTCTCAGGCCCCTTTGGGGATTATCAGCTGGTTCCTCTGCTTGGACCTCATAGAACTCAATGGGGCTGTGGCCCCCGAGTTTGAGACATTATTAGGCTTGTGCTTATTTCACTTATCTGATGATCCTTCATCATTTGAGTGAGTGCATGAGAAGTGTCTCAGCCTATCCAGAGAGCACACAGATCCAGGCTGTCCTGCTAGAAATGGAGGAGGTGGAAAAGAGGAACAATGTCATGGTGCCCAAGACAAGTCTTTGCTGCCTATTGACTGTTGTTCATTGGTTAACAAGCCTTTTTCATCAGGGATTTTGTTCAGATAAAATCTTATGGAAGCAGCAATCACACAGGGAAAAGCTGACTACCCCTTGATGAAGAGAGGGTGGTTGGAGAAAGTTCTGCCAGCCAAGATCCCCCTCAGAGGGGTATGGTAAGAAACCATTGCTAGAGTGGGTAAGAAGAGGGAAGTGGAAGGAGAAAGGTGATGATTATATGTACCCTTGGCCTTCTGTAGCCTCATAGTATCTGGTAAACCATTTGGGACTCCCAGATGACTTCAGTTCTGCTGTGCTAGAGAGACAGGTCTCTTGGTTTCTACCCTGAAGCAGTAAGAGCCAAGAGACCAATGGCTTATGTAATAGGGATTAAAACTCTGAAGAGGTGAAAAATATGCCTCTCAGTCTTAGCATCTTTGCTCTTATCTTTCAGAGGTTCCAAAAACAGAACAGACTTTTGAAGAGCGCCTGATACTCAAAGCTTTCTTGCTAAAGTTTGTCAATGCCTACTCACCTATCTTCTATGTGGCCTTTTTCAAGGGGCGGTGAGTATAATGGTGTCACACGTGGTGACTTGTCACTAAGACAGGGGTTCCTGCTAGAGTCAGCTTGTCCCTGCTGCCCATTCACACCCTCAGTCCTATTCCCCACTTCTGTCCCCACCTTGTCATTCCTGAAACAATGGCATTCGCACCACATCATTTTGGATTAGAATCTTTAGATTCAGGTAACCAGGGAAACTGCAGGGATTTGACCCTGGGCCCCAGAGGGTGAGTCTTAGAATAATCTGGACATCCCAACTTTGAGGATGACGTAGGAGGAAATTTCAGGTCTGGTGAGTGATTTGGAAGTCTTTCAATGCATTTCTGACACTAGCTACCCTGAGTTAGCACATACTTCACCAAGTAAGGGCATGATCTTCCACGAGACTGCTCACTCCGAACACTAGCTGCAGGCCCTGGGGTTCCTATGCCACTTGTGATTGGTACCCACTGGCTACGACCACTAACTCCTCAGGTTTGATAATTCTCTAGAATGACTCACAGAACTCAGGAATGTGCTGCACTTAAAATTACAGTTTTACGATAGAAAGGGGGTACAAATCCAAACCAGCAAATGGGAGAGGCACATAGGGTGAGATTTAGGAAGGTCTTAAACAGAAGCTTCCGTGTCCTCAAGATGGATCAGTTTCCTGGCACGTTGATGTGTACCACCAACCATGAAGCTCATCCAAGCCTCAGTGGCCAGAATTTGTAAGGTTGCGGTACGTAGGTAGGTATGATTGGTTAGATCATTCACCATGTGACTGAGCTCAACCTCCAGTCCTCCTTCTCTCCCTGAGGTCAGGCTGCTATTACATGGATCAAAAGTTCAACCCTCTAATCACATAGTTGGTTTTTCTGGCACAGCCTCCCCCATCCTGAGTGATCTCATTAGCATAAATTTAGGTATAGTCCCAAGAGGCCACCATGAATAACAAAGAGACTCCAACCAAGAAATTCTAAGGATGTAGAGGCTTTCCCAAGAACCAACAACAAAGGCCAGTCAGATTCTTTATTATATAGACTGTCTGGATGTAAAATGACTTCTGATGAATACTTTTCATGGTTAGATCACTTGGCTACCTATAAGGAGATTTCCCAGTAATGATTAACTGTCAGGAAGCTTTCCTATCACTAAAATCTCATCAAGCAGGCATTGATAGCAAGAACTGTTCTTGTACATATTTGATAGTTTCTTATAAATGTTTTTTGACCAAAACCACAGCGTCCTTCCTGGGATCTCTGCTCTTGACTCTTATGAAATTATAGTAGTAGAGAGACTGTCTGTATTAATGGGTATATACTCCACTGGTGCTTTGTCTCTAGATTTAATATCCATAGCAAATTTTATACATGGAAATTCCAGGCCAAAAAATAGGGTCCTGACCCTTAGGTAAATTTGTGGCATATTGAAAAAGATGGTCTTGTCAACAGCACACTGCAGTAAATGCCATAAGAGAAGTGTTAAGAAAGTGATGGGGAAATATGTAATTGTGAACAGAGACAGTAAGAAGACTTCACAGAGAAGGAAAGATTTGAGCTGAGCCTTAAATAGATGGGTAGGATTTCAACAGGTGGATGAGGGGCTGACATTACAAGTGAAAAGGAATCTTCTCATTACCTGTCTGGTTCCATGATTGGCTTTTACCTCTCTGCTTCACCCCCACCTGCCCCATCCTCTTGTTCCCCAGTAAAATAGACCCTACTTGGAAGAAGCATGAGGCAGGCTGCTTCCATTCCTTCAGATGCTTTCAGTTAGGAGTCTGGATTTTTCTTTTCGGACCCCAGGAATCTGTACTTGCAACTTTGGCCTGTCTCCCCCTTCATTTCCTGGGAAATCAAAAGCTCTCACCGAGGAGCTGCAATCAGAACTCAATTCTTGGCATTAGTTGGGGGAAGAAGGTGCACAGAAAGTACACTTAGATATCATGCAAACCATGTGGTGTTTAGGCTCAGAGATTGTCACACATGCACACCCACACATGTGACCTTCCCAGCCCCACACCAGCTCCAGCCTCGGCCCCTATTCCCTGGAACCCTGGGTAGTACAGGTGAGGGCCCTAGGTGATTTAGCCCCTACTTTCAAAGAGGACGCCAGGTGGTGGCTGTTCCACTCTGAAGGCCATGCCTACAAGCAACCCTGCCTTTCTCCTTCCCTAACTCTCCCATGCTTGTGGATTTCAGGTTCGTGGGCAGACCTGGAAGCTACGTTTATGTATTTGATGGCTACCGCATGGAAGAGGCAAGTATAGCCACCAGTGATCTATGGCTGGCTGGTGGTTTGTAGGCGCCCCCCTGGCCTCAGCCTCACCCTTTCCCCGTTTCGCACGCTTTACTTTTTGCCCTTGCTTCTCTGAGCTCCCCTTGGTCTTAACCACATCTACTGTTATCTTCTCTTCTGGGCAGTGTGCTCCGGGAGGCTGCCTTATGGAGCTCTGCATTCAGCTCAGCATCATCATGTTGGGGAAGCAGCTGATCCAGAATAACATCTTTGAGATCGGAGTCCCGTATGTAATGAATTCTTCTTATCTCCTCACTTGCCACCAGGGCCTAGCCCAGCAGGGCCAGACTTTCAGCAGGATGCTCCCTGCCTCCTCCCCTCAGAGAGCCTGGTTATTTACTCCTCTGCCCACTTGCCAATAGTTTTCTCCATGAGGCAGGGCCCCTCCCACGAGGCTTGTCTACCCATCTGATTGGGGAGGTTTGAGGCTCTGAAAGATTAAGCACTTGCTTAAGTAATGTAATGACTAAGTGGCAGAGCCAGGACTCAGGTATCTCGGGCCTCAAAGTGTAAAATATTTTTAATGCTCGCTGTCCTCCCACTGAATAAGTAATGTAGACTTTCATTATGGTGGGTAGAAATGAATACGAAAGGGGGAAATACTACGTAATACTTTAGACACACGTGGTCTTGGAGGAGGGAATGGTGCAGAGCTGATGAAGCTCAGGCTGGATTTGCATGTGGATCTTCTCTCTCCTCCCACATGGTTTTATACAGATTTCACAAAAGGACTTCTTTCCCTTAAGTGTTGCATTGAGATCAACTTGAAAATAAACACAGACTTGTAGGCACTAGATCTAAAAGGAAAGAAAATGCAGTAAGTGAAAATCTACCTTCAGGTCAAAGAAAAATGTAACCCCTCCCCCCTCCCCTGACTGCCGCCGCCACCACCACCACCACCACCACCACCACCACCACCACCACACATTTCTATTGCTTTTTGGTGTTCTCATACCATTACTTAGGCTGAATGCTTAGGGTGCTTTTCTGTCCTCACACTGACACAATCTCAGATGGCTCTTGGGTGTGTGTTTTTCTGGTATAAGGACTGGCAAGAATGTTGGTGTCTGGACATCTTGTTTCACCTCCCTGCTGCAGCCAGCCTCTGGTCACCAGTCTGGAAATCATCAATTTTGAGAAACCCAGCCCTCTGAAACTGTGCCCCATCCCCAGCTTTCTGGTTGACAGTCATTCGGTGATAGTCAAGCAAAGCTGGTAAGACACATGGTCACTGTCCCCTAGGAGCTTACCATCTCAGAGAGAGACTACATTTGTTGTGGAGAAACATCCAGAAAATATACAGACCAAGAAAAGATGTACCAAAGCCACATCTGGCTCCTTTGAAGCCAAGGGACCAGCCCCTCCACTGCTGCTACAAAGGAAAGTGTCCATTCTCCTTCAGACATCTGGGAAAGACACCTGTCCTTCCAGTGTATCATTATTCTGCTCTGGATGGAATTGTATACAGCTTGCAGGCATGAGATTTATTTATGCCTGGACATCTGCTCTACTACTTAGCCCATTTACTCTGGACCAGAGGCCTTTTATAGATAGAAGAGAGGCAAGAGCTCAGGCATATGTTTGGACAGTGTATTGGCATGTCCCCCACCCATCTACTTCATAACAGATGAGGTTAACACATGGCTGTTTGCCTCAAAGGCTAAATTTTCTTGTTTATGCTTGATATGTGTTTAATATGCCACACTTTAATTAATTGATGCAAATTGTACAGTGACTCATGAAGCTGGGGACAAATCACTTCTCTAAGTCTTGCTGTCCTCATCTCCTGATGAAAATAGTGGCATTAGAATCATCTCCAAGGTGTTCTCATTTCAGCTGTGACATTCTGTGACCATGTCCTCTACTCAGTAAAACTGGGCACTGCTGCTTCCAAATACAAGTTACTTCTGTTTCAAAAGATTGTTCCTCATTTCAGTTTCTAGGTTGCTAAAGGACACATACAATTTAACTGTGTAGTTAATTATAATATATATATGAACTACATAAGATATATAGTTAATTATAATAATAAGTATGTAATTAATCTCTGAGGATGTAGAGCAGAAATCCTTCTACCAAGCCCTGGAGTCTTCTGTCTCCAAAGTTCTTGTAATTTTACAGGTTGTATTTTGAGTTCAGTTACATTAAATCACTATGATGGTGATTTTTGGATTTTCCCCTCCTTGCTCAGAACCCACTCTCAATAAATTAGACCCCATCCAATCCAGAGTTTAAGCACCTGGAGATATCCTTATATGAATGACACAGTTGAGAAACATGAAATAAGCAAGAAAATAAAAAGGAGTCTTTCCAAGTCAAAAGAGATATGACAGTTGACCTGACAGGAAGAAGAGAAAAATGATAAGAATAGGACCCATTGATCTTGAATTCTTTGGAGGGGGTAGCACATTTCAGTAAGACAGAGATTGTCCAATAGATCTGGGTTTAAATTGAGCCATTGTAGTATACTCACTGTGTGACCTTGTTAAAGTTATTCTAGAAAGATTTTCATGCAACCTGGCTTATGTACAAATAAAGGTTGGATAAATGCTCAGCTATCTCGAAAATAGAGCATATGAAATCCGAGAAAGGAAGAACCGTTCTTAGGGGCTCCAGGCAGCCAAGGTGTTACTGAATGTCATTAGCTTTATGTTTGTAAGTGACGCTTTGTGACTGTTGCAAGCCCAAGAGTGAGATTAAAAAGATCAAGTCAGGAGCACTGTTTTTCTCTTCTGTTCAGGGCCTGATGGCCTTTGAGTCATGTACCTTCAGAGCCTACATCAAATTCTTTCCCCAAGGGAGGTAAATATTAGTCTTAGATACCGGATTTGATTTTTAAAAACAGAAGCAAGGCTGAGGAGTTAGGTAGGTGATTATACTAGTTAAGAATATTTGGGGTAAAAAAACATGAGATTATACAATTAGAAGATGTTTATCATCTACTTCTGGAAGTAGTTTTCTAAGATTCTTCCAAAGAAAGTTTTAAAATATTAAGAGACTATCTAAGTGACCTTTATCAGTAAGCCAGGTAGTCAGTTACCTCTCTCCCTGAGGTTGAAGGATGCAACATTCTTAGTAGATTCTGTGTGTGTGTGTGTGTGTGTGTGTGTGTGTGTGTGTGTGTGTCTTACAAACATACCATAACCACAATTTTAATGCCCTTGAGAATTGTATACTCTAGTAGGCTTCTTGTAGAACACCGTGTCCAATCTTTGGTGATTTGTGAACTAACCTTTAAGTTTTTTTCTCCATAACTACCTAAGTGACTGTTGCATATTAATTTCCTCTAAAGCAACTCATGTTTTATTTAAATTCATTACATTTCTGAAAATGGAACATGAACACTATCAGCTACTGTGAACAGCAAATCACAGTAGAAAGAAATACAGTCAGAAGTAAACATTATTAAATAACCAATGACATTAGCTTAAGATCTGCATTCTCTTTGTTCTAAAGGAAGCTGCACGGGCACTGGGGAGTTGTTAAAGACATGCCAGCAGCAGACTGGGGTTTTCTCCTTAACCACCATCAGAGGGGCTGAACAGGAGCAGGAAATGAGCTGAACGGGAGCATCTAATGAGATGAGGGCCAAGTGTAAGGACCTCCAAAGGTGTCAAATGAACTGCTGTTGGAATGTGACTGTTGCTTGGGAAACGTTGCTTTAGAGCAATATTATCACTTCTTAATCCCACAGGCTTCCACAAGGCTGGCACAGATACTAGGCATGTCCATGGTTACTGTACAGCTGCCCTTTGGGACCTGGATAAGCTCCACCAACTCTCTCAGACTCTCCTTTGCTGCCCCTAAATCTGGCAGGTGTCCCAGACAGGGCCGTGCAGAAGCCCAGCTCCCTCCAGGCACCTTCCACCAGACGGCAGCAGTCCCACCTTGGCTAGGCCTGATTCAGAGACCCTGGGGATGGAAACACAAAGTGCTTCAAAGGGAGGCCATAAAACTGGGGGCACTAGGCTCTTTAAAGGCAGCTCTGTGACTAATTGAAGACATGATAATAAATAAAACTGGGTTGCGTGATCTGGCCTTGAACTATCCCCACTTAGCAACCCCAGGCTCCTGGGGCCTGACACAGTTGTGACAGATGCTTTCCAGAGAGGAACTGGATGGTTTTAAACATTACAGGCCCCAGAACAATGCTCATCGGCAGCTCCATCTGAGATGACTTCAGACATGGTGGGCGGTATGGCAGAATCTGATCTTGTGCTATTTATTACCTGAGTCCCCTATCGGGGGTTTCTGTTCCCTCACTGCTGCCCCCCACACCCTGCCTTTCCCATATGTGTTTGTGCAATATAGACTTTTGGTATGAATCAGATGGTGCCCCTAAAACGTGCCACCCCACATCCTAACTTCTCACTATAATTTTCTCTCAAACTTAGTTCCAGTCTTCCTTGAAGGAAAGCTGGAAATGAGCCTTTTATCATTCAGAAAGATGGGTGTTTTTTTTTTTTTTTTTTTTTTTTAATAAAAGGTAAAATGCCTACCTTTTCCAAATGCCAAATTCTTTCCTGGGCAAAGTCTGAGAGCAAGTAGATCAATACTTCCACTAGCAAAATGTCCCCCCATCCCTATTCTTACTAAAAACACCAGATCACATCCCCAAATAGTTGTAATGTACCCTGGACATGGCCAGTAAGATTCTATAAACTTTATGCTTTTTTTTTCAGTAAATGTGATAAATATTACATTTCAAGACATAAAACAGTCTCTCTTTAAAGCCATCACAGGCAAAGGAGGTCTGTGTTCTCAAAGACAGTGGAATCTGGCCATGAATCAGAAGTTTAAGGAACAAATTTGAACCTTGTCAGGTGTCAAGGAGAGGAATCATAGCTCAGAGGTTGCTGTGTTCATCTTGTTTGGCTCATTTAGGGCTTAGTCCTGCCTTCTTTAATGAGGCTCGAGGCATACGGAGCTGCCTAGGCCCCAGATTCCTGCAGTGGGAAGGCCTAAGGTGTGACAGACAATCACCATGGTCTTGGGATGAGCCCATGGGGCACAAGCAAAGGAAAGGCTCCAAGCCTTCCAGACAGTTTCTTGGACCTGTCATTAAAAAGGGACGGAAAAATAGCAGAGCAGATGAAAAGGACAAGGGGGTAACATCAAAGGAGTTATTTTAACGAGTGAGTGCATCGTACAGCCGGAATCGTAATCTGAAGTTTTCCAAACAGCCCATCTGTATGGTATACAATTTGCAGGATTCCTGTTAAATCCTATTCTTGAGGGACCTTCTTTATTAATTTTTTTAATGGCCACTGAGATCTCCAGAAGGGCAGCTTCTGGGAAGGAAGGGTTCATAAGAATTACTTGTGGGTTGTTTTTCCCCTCATCGTCTTCGACGTGCCCACAGTGTATTACACAGTGACTGCAGTGTCATTCCTGAAGCTCCCCTTCTGCCCTTCCCTTCTTTGCTACATGGTCTAGCAGTTGGCCTTCTGTTCCTGTGACTTCTGCTTTCCTGCCCTTGGAAAGCTCCTCTCCCTCTCCCCATCCCTGGACTGTTGGTATTCCTTCCCTGTACTCCATCCACAGGTGGGGCTCATTGCTATGGTTTTGGTTGCTCTCTCCAGGATGATTCTCATTATTGTTAGCTTCCACCCAAATCTGTTTTCAGGGCTCTAGACCCATGTATAAAATGCTTACTAGACATCCCTACTTACTTGTCCTGTGGGATCCTCTGCCTTGACACGCCTGCCTCCCCCTCATCAAAAGGGCCTCTTCTCTAGTGTTCCTTGTCGCAGCAAACTGTACCACCATCCACACGCAAGCCTGAAGACCCCAAAATGGTCCTTGGTTCCTCTCTTTCCCACGTACAGGTCACCACAGCTGCTTAAGTCTGCTTCCTGAGCCTGTCTCAGTCTGCCTCCTCCTTCTCATGTCCACTGCAATTACCCTGGACTCTGCTGCCATAATCTGTCAGCTGGGCCACTGCCTAATATGGCTAACTTTCCATGCCATAGACTTGTGCTGCCTTCTTGCTCTTCTCTTTCCTCACTTTTCCTCTCCTACTCCATGCTCCGAGCATGTGGAACTCCATTCAGTCCCTTCTCTGAGCTGTTCTCATATTTGCCTTTGGCCGCTGCACAGATGATCTCCTCTGCCTAGAACACATCTTCACCCATCATGCCACTCTCCCTTTCCTATGCTTCTGCCATCTTTTATCATTTAGTTGGTTTATGCATCTCTTCCTTGGGGAAAACATCCCCTGCTTCAGGTCAGGTTAGTTTTCTTTGTTTTATTTTGTCATAATTACCTAAATTTCTCCCTTCATGATACTTACTACACATTATTGGCAGTACTTAAGTGTCCATTTTCCCAGCTATATGGCCTCATTTAACACATCAGATGTCTTGTTTTTTCTTGGAGACCATCCTCTGGGAATCTTCATTCTCCTGTTCAAACCAAAACTATTCACTGAACCTTCTATATAGCTGTGAATCCCAGTTAGATCTAGCACTTCCTTTTTCTGTAATTTCTTGTTTGCTGGATTCCATTGTTACCTTTCTTGTTTTATATCATTGGTTGGTGAAATTCATTCTCTAGGAACTTCACAAGAGTGGATGCATGCATATTTTTTTAAAAACCTTGTTTTTAAAGGCATGTTTTACATTTTTTCTTCTGCCTTTGCACTTGATGTATACTTTGGCTAGGTATAAAATCCCTTGCTAAAAATCATTTGCCTTCTCAATATTAATAAATTTCCCTGGGGCTTTCTAATGTCAAGGACTGATGTTGAGAATTCTAATATCTTTTTGTTCCAAATAATTTTTAGAGAATCTGTTTGTCTCTCTAGTCATGGAAGCTTTTAGAATCATGTTCATTGTTCCTAGAGTTGTGAAATCTCATGGTGATGGGCTTTGGTGGAAGTCCTTTTTTTCATCATTATGCTGAGTAGGTCCTTCCAATCAGAAAATGCATATCTTTCAGCTCTGGACATTTTCTTACATTTCTTTATGCTTTCCTCGCCATTTTCTCTGTCTTCTCTTTCTGATTAAATGTTGGAGTTGCTTATTTTTTCTTTCCTATTGTCTATTTATTTTCTTTTCTATTTTTTCTTTCCTATTGTCTTATCTTTTCTTTCCTATTGTCTATTTATTTCTTTTCTATTTTTTTCTGTGAGTTTATTGATTTTTTTACTTCCAATCATTTTATTGGACTCATTTCAGATCTGTAATTTCCCCAGTTCATTTTTTCCTCTGAATAAACTTCTTAATCCTGCTGATTAATTAATAAACTTCTTAATCCTCCTGTGGGAGAAGTGGTAGTCAGTCACCTGGGCAATATGGTTGGGCAGAGACACTAGGGTCTACTCTTCCTCCTTAAGCAGTGCCTTGACTAATCACTATTGCCTGCCATTAGCAGTACCTAGTGCCTAAAACTTCTGAACCTTTTTGAGATTCCAGCATGAGAGGGCTTGCTTTTTTTTTCTGCTGCTTTTCACTGCAGGCACTTGGTGTTCAGCCATCACAGCTTTGCTAACCCCTTTATCCACTGTCTGTCTTCTAAGATATTTATTAACATCTCTTATACACTGCTGTATTCATGACTGTTTTTTTTAACCTTGTGGTTTTGTTCATTCTAAAATTCATTCGCTATCATTTTAGTCGCGTTTCAGAAAAGAGATATATACATGTGCTCCATTTTCCATATTTAATTAAAACCACTGATTATTCTTTACTAAAAATTTGGCCACGTTTTCTGATTACTGCTATCTGGAGGAAAAGTCTCAATTTTAGTTCTGATTCCAGACCGTCCCTTCCTCCATCCTTCCCTCCTTCTCTCTTTTTTCTTTTTCTTTTTTTCTCTCTTTCATTTTTTTTCTTCACTTCTCCTTTTGCCCTGACCTACAGACAGGGTCTCAGCCAGTCCAAACTATTTGGCTTCAGAATCTTTAGGCTTCACCTAGATTTTTCTCAATTTCTTATTATCACAGAATTCTTGCTTGCTCTTTTATTATGAAATACTGTATTTTACTGTGGCTTCTGTGGATCTCAACTCATTCTTTAAATCCTTCTGTGATGGTGATGGTGATAATGATGACGGTGATGACAGGGACAAGGGTAAATATATTTATTGAGCTCTTAGCATGTACCAAGCCCTAAGCTAAGCATGTTACAGAGATTATCTCCTTAACTGACCCTATGGGGTAGCTGATATTTATTTTCTCATAGATAAGAAAATTAAATCTTACGGAGTTTTAATAGCTTGACCAAGAAAATATAGCTGGTGAGTTGTGAAACTGGGTTTTAAACAATTATTTTCTGACATCAAAGATCAGACTTCTACCCACTACACTACACTACTATACTACATCTTCTTGATGACAAATGGTAGTAGACAAGACACTGATCAAAACCTTGTTTTGAACCATTAGATTTCCACTAACTGTGAGAAGCACTTTCTAACAATTGAATGCTATACCTAATGATATTGAGAATGTTCTTCTGGAAACACAGGGGTTAAATCATCTTGTGTAGGGAATGTGGGGGGAATTCCTGCATTGAATGGAGCATGGACTTCAAAATCCCTTTAACTTTTCAAGTCTATGATTCTGACTGTTCTACTATTCTCCTCCCAACTATCTCCTAGAAACTTTCTCTTAGATTGATTAGCAGAATTGGCACCTTGTTCCTTTACCTAATTTCATTCCCTATGATTGTGCATTAATGGGAAGTATGAAAAGACCATATCCTCAGGCATATTTTAGCATTTAATATTAAAAATAAAAATATTAATTACCTATTGAATGCTTACTATGTCCAGATATTATGCTAAGGATCATATAGACATTGTTTCACTCAATTCTCATCCAAGCACTGAGAGGCTGGGCCATTATTATCTTGGTTGACTTAGTCTCCTTGGGCTTCCATAACAAAATATCATAGACTGGGTGGCATAAACAACAGGAATTTATTTCTCACAGTTCTGGATGCTGGAAAGTCGAAGATCAAGAATTGGTAGAGTTTGGTTTCTAATGAGGGCCCTCTTCTTGGCTTGCAATAACCATCTTCTTACTGTGTCCTTCCTCACATGGTGGAGAGAGAAAGATCACTGTCTCTTCCTTTTCTTATAAAGCTACCAGTCCTATTGGATTAATACCCCAGCTTTATGACCTCACTTAATCTTAATTACCTACTAAAAGCCCTGTAGTCAAATGCAGGCACATCTGGGATTAGTGCTTCAACAGGTGAATCTTGGGGGACTCACTTCAACCCATAAGAGTAGTTGACAACATTTAGTTTGGATTTAATGAAAAATATGGTACTGTTTATGTTATTAAGACCTGAAAATGTTTGAGCTTGGAGGAAAGCATCTTTCTAGTACTTTCTGGGCATCCTCTCTTCCCCATGAAGAGGGTGGATAGATCACCTGTTAGACAATAGGATGATCTCAGCATTTGGCAAGAAGGGCCAACTCTTTTGCTGCTCATCAAACAGTAGGAAGAATTCGGTTTCTTTGATTTTGAAGAAACCTGACCCTTTTTGGGGGGAACCTTTCCTTATCCTGTTGAAAAACCCCAGGTTGTCTTTAAGAGAAAAGTAGTCTTTTTAGTGTCCTTCTGTGTGTCCTTGGAGCAGAGATAACTGCAGTGTCAAAAAGCCTTAGTTTTTCTCCTCCTTCTGTCTGTATAACTAACTCTGTCTTCCAAAGGCTTTTAGTGACTGGTCCATTTCTTTTCCAGGAAACTAAAGAAACTATTTCGGAAGCTGAAAGATGAGACAGAACCTGGAGAAACTGACTCTGCCCACTCAAAGAATCCAGAGCAGTGGGACCTAGACTACAGCTTGGAGCCATACACTGGACTGACTCCAGAGTACATGGAGATGAGTAAGATCCTATTATCTTTCCTTTTACTGGGGGCAGGTTCACACAAGGGGTCTGCAAAAAGGGCTAGGGAAGAGGGTAGGGAAATGACTGGGGCAGTCTCTGCTTCCTCCTGGGCTTCATGGCTACACAGTGTCACCTTCAGTGCCACATGGAAGTTGAGGGAGGGTAGGGCAAAAGGAGTCCTGGAATGAGAACCGAGAGCAACTCTGTCACCACCTTGACACTAGGGTAATATCCTTTTCTTCTTGGGCTTCCTCTCCTCATCTATGATATGGGAAGTTTGGTCTCAGGTATTTTGCCATGGTTTCTGGCATTGATAAAGCTGAAAAGGAAATAGTGAAGTCTGAAATTTAAGAATAGATTGTCATTAGGAAGAGTAAGGACACATAGCATCTTTAACGTGGAGAATATAGAAGAGTCCCCTACTCTACTCAAGTGGGGCTGGGTAACATGTCAGATTTTCTCTTAAAAAGTTGGGATGTTTTGTGTAGGGGATGAGAGGTATATTTCCAGTGAGAGAGCCTCTCCTTGTTCTTGGATAAGGCTTGAAAGTAGGAGTGCGGGTAGTACAGGCTGGTAGAACACAGTCATTTCAGATGTGGTTTGGAAGCCATGAAATCTCCATGATAAATGTCCCAACTTAGATAAGCTGCCTTCAGACTCTTGGTTTCTTGTGAATAATCCTGACCTTTCATTGGGGTAGATATTTGAGAAGCCTCTTCATAAGATTTGAAACTAATGAATTAAAAACATAGGACCAAGAGGTCAGCCATATCATCTAAACATTTATTCAATCCAGAATGTATATGAAGAAACATCAGTGGGACCCATCAGAAGAATCACTTGGAACTTTGTCATTGGACCTGTCATTGTGTTTGCATAATGGCTCCTGCCTCCTTTGGTTAATCACTCGCAATAGGGGGGGTCACAGATACCTTTTTGTGCACTGGGTCCCTTGCTTGTTATTTCTAGTGGATATTTCTCCTCTTCTGTTTATAAGAATGTGTGTATGTATGTTAAGGGTAGAGGGATGGACAGGGTCTAGATTAGATGGCCATAAAATGTCTGTTCTAGTTCTGAGGTATCTAAAATTCCAGGAAAAATTTGTACTTTATAATCTAAACAAACTTATCAGAAGAGAAACAGTTATATCTGCTTTGGGAGCTATAGGGTAGGAAAATATCAAGACACAGTTTATGGAAATATGTAGCTCCCTTATGCTTTTTCCTTTATCTAAGTACTATCTGATCCCTCTCCAGCACTGAGCCAGGTTTTTACACAGAGGTGATCACTCATACTCCAGATGCCACTCAATGTCTGCCATCCTATCAAACAGAAATTGCTGCCAGAAGCTGAGGCTTCCATTTGGGAAGGGGTTTACATTAAATATGGCTCCCAACCCCCACCCTCCAACATTACTCCCCTACCCCACCACCCAGCTATCCATGTAGGTCTTCCTGGCCTGTCTACCTGTCTGTCTAGATAGCTGGCTCTTTCAAAGGTTCCTCTTTTGAATCCTTAAGAGCAGAGACACTTGAGCTCTACTCTCTGGGTTCAAATCCTGGCTCTGTGACCCAAGTATTTGGACAGTTTTGGGAAAGTGGCTAACTTTTTATGTGTGTCAGTTTGCTTTAGCTGTAAAAAAAAAAAAAAAAAAAAAAGATATTAATAATAATATCTACCTCATAGGATTGTTGTATTTAATGAATTAGTATCTGAAAAGTGCTTAGAAGAACATCTAACACATATAAAAGCCGGGTTTGTCAAGTATTGCTGATTCTCTTAATGGTCTTGAACCCTAGAAAAGCCACGTGCAGGGATATAGGCTGAACTTTGTCAGCCACCTTATCACTGAATGGACATCCACTATGTGTTCAGACGTGGGCACTTTACAAAGTAATGAGAAGAGGGGAAAAAACAGCAAGAACTAGAAGATTTAGTGGCTTCTGGAAGAAGTTTATACCACGATTGTAGAGAGTGAAATTCATTCTGTAGATTAAACAAAACGCACACCCACACACACGCGCGTGCGCGCCCACACAAAACTCCTTACAGGTTATAAGGGAACAAAACAGCCATATAACAGAAGGCTTGAAAATAGAAAAAAGAAGGGAACATGTCTCCCAGACTTACCTCATTTCAGCCCGATGTTTACTAGCATTTCGGTGCCATTTCTTCTTAGACCCTTTTTGTTATGTATATGATTTTTAAAATAAAGTTGTGATCACATACACAAATTTGTTGCTGTTTTCCAGTTAGCATTAGATGAATAAATATTTCCAAGTTGTCATATAATATCCAAAACTAAGAGCTGCATAATAAATGACCCCCTCTAATAAATGTACTGTAGTTCATTTGCTGATTTTCCAGTGAAACACATTGGAGACTCACTTTCTGATTCTTCCCCTATTTTGGTAATCTAATATATATTATCTCCATGCATATAATCCTTTCCATATTTGCTAATGATTTCCTCAAGGTAGAGTCCCACAGATGTGATTACTAGATCTAAGTTACGGCCATTGTATAGTTCTTGATTTATTTATTTATTTTATGTATTGCTTTCTAAAAGGATTAGACCAATTCACCGAGCCACAGGCAGTGTACAAAATACTCTTCCAGTGAATACAAATTATTTAGTAGCCTGAAGTAATGTGATATGAAGGAATTATCAGTGCACAGTAAGTTTGAGATGCTCAGCCCCCTGTGGCCACCTCATTCCACTTTGTTGATTTGAATATTCCAGACTTCTCCTCCTTCAAAAGTTAGCTTTTCATGGGGCTTTCCCTGTGAAGTCTCCCTAGATCAAGCCCCGTTCCTCCTGAGAGGAATCATTAATTATTTGCCTTTCTGTCCCATTACATATAGGTACACACACTGATGGTGTATCTTCCAGAATTATGATAATACTGGTCACATATCTGTTCTGCAGACCCAGACTATTAGATTCTAGAGAACAGTGTGTAGGAATCATGGCTTATTCATCTTCATGGTCTCCATGACCCAGCACATTTCCTGGCATATAACAGACACTCAGTGTGTCTGATAAACAAATATGAGTAAATGAATGAATGATTTCTTAATTAGTGAGGGAAGTTTTCTTAACAGAGGTAAGCTTTTAACAACTTTAAGTGGCAAATGAAGGATCATTTTCAAAGTGGGGCTTGGTTGATTGTGGGTGGGTCAAGGATGTTTTGAAGCGATTTCCAGCTGTAGGTAGGAGGTTGGGCTTGATTCCTGAGGTCCCTTCTGGTTCTGAGAGTCTACATATTAATGATAAGAGTAAGGGAGAGCATTCCAAGGAAAAGGACTCGCAAGTTCAAAGAGTCTCCTGGCCACGAGTAAGTATTGACATAGCAAATGGTGGTTTTTGGGCAGATAGGGCTTAGATAAAGACCTGGTGCATTAATTTGTCTGAAGATGAGACAAATTTGCGTTTCACATCAGGCTGTAGGGAGCAGTTGTAAAATCTTAGCCAGTGCTGTGACTCTGTTTCCCTTGAGGAGATAGGCAGCAAGTGTGGAAGGGAGGTAGTAAGAAAGACTAAGGAAGGAAGAAGAAACACAGGTGCACTCATTCACTCATTCATTCATTATTTCATTCATCAGATATGTATTAAACCTATAAAGGGAGGAACAAGTTTGGAAACCAGGACAGAGCCTTCAACAGTTCAGGATGATATTGATTCAGTCAACAATGCAGTTGATACTGATTCAGGCTTCTCTAGAGGAGGAAGCACGAATCACACATGGGTTTTCCAAGCTGGGTTCCACAGAAACTCACTCCCAGCATTCTTTAGGCCATTTTGCCAAGCTGTCAGCCACTTCAAAGATGTGATTATTTTATTTCATAGTTTATATAGGTGCAAGAGCTATGTTTCTGACTTAGAGTCCTTTTATTCCTTTTGTCTCTGGAATATACTCTTGACCCTTGTGAAGAGAATATTTGTTCCCATGTACAATCAAAGACTGGACTGCAGACTAAACTTTACCAAACATTACACCATTTAGCAACATAGGCTAAGTGAGGGTAGGGGTGGGCTCTGGAGTCAAACCACGAGGCTTCCAGTCCCAGGCCTGCTATGGCTAGTTACATGACTCTGGGCTGATGTATAAAGTCAGCCAGGCTCAGTTTCCCCATCTGGAAAGTAGATTTGATGATAATAGCACCTACCTTACAGGATGGTTCTGAGAAGTAGGTAATGAATATAAAACATAGTTAAAAAACAGTGCTTGGTCCACTTAGGCTGTCTATGGATATGAGCTGCCACTGTTCTTGTCAAGAGTCCAATTTCTTTCCCTTTAATCTAGGAATTGACTAAAAACAACTTAAAGCCCTCAATGTAGTGAGCCCTCAATGTATTGACCCATTAGTATAGGGTTGGGCAGTAATGTTGAAAGACTGTGGGTACCAGACTCCAAGGCAAATCTAAAAATCACACTCAGAAGTCTGAGAGGTAAACACTCCAAGATGTTTGTCTTTTCAGAGAATCTAAGCCCTTAGGGTTCTCCTTGTCAAGTCTGGCATCGCAAATGGGCTCCTTTTGTCATCTGTTTATCTAAAACCCGCAAACTTTTGTTCCTCCAGTCTTCTAAAAAATAATCACTATTGTCTTCCTGACTCAGGAATTCAATTATCCCCCTAGAGCCTTCCTTCAGCTTCTTAAATAGGCCTATCCCCTAGGCCGTTAATGTGGGTGACAAAATGAATTTTTTCTGTCGTTCACATAGTTGTTAGAGGAAACCTCATTTTTCTTGGTCATGAGTTTACATCCTGTCAAACTTTAGTAGAAAGGGAGGTGCATTGAGCTTGGATATTTACTTACTCATTCATTTGGAGTGAAGGCCAGGTCATGACTTTGGAGGGCCAAGGGCTGTCCACCAAGACTTGTAAGAGTCATCCAGCAGGTGGAAACGCATGGGGTAGGTCCCAAAGATTGCAGCGCCCTCCTGAAATTGCAGACTTGAACTTCTGGGTTCAGAAGGAGCATCACTGCATTG